GTGTGCAAGTTCATCCAAGAACGTCTTGGAGAAGTGATGAGAACAGGCAAGGGCAGTCTGTGGATCTTTGAATTGGCTTTCACAGGAAGGCCGACCAGACGCAGCTGGACCATCCAGTTTGATGTCCTCAAGACTAAGATTGACGAGGATGCAGGTGGAAGACACCAATGACCTCAACGACGTGGTGAAGAAACTGAAGTCGAATCCGGAAGTGTGCATTCAAATACAGCCACTGAAGAACATGCAGATGGCAGTGGTGACAGATGCTTCATGTGGGAATGATGGGCACCATTCCCAAAAAGGGCAGATCGAACTTTCTTTGGTGGAGGAGCGCTCGACTGCAGAGAGTGGTGAACTCGACCTTAGCAGCAGAGACGCAGGCCTTGTCAAACGGACTTGGAGATTTACTTTGGATGAAAGTACTGCTGAGAGAGCTGCAGGAAGAGAAGTTCAACATCAAGGAATGGCCGGCCGACATGAAGACTGAAGAAGTTACCGCCTTGGCCATTGCCATAGACCAAACCAGCCAAGAGCTTCATGAATGTTTGGCAGTGGTGGATGCCAAAAGCCTCTATGACTACTTGGCAAAGGAGACCATCGGTGGCCAGGAGGTTCAAATAATTCGGGAAGAGCTGAAGCAGCTCAACGGAGCATCCGTTGGGTAGACCGCCCGGCCATGGTGGCCGATCCCCTCACCAAGATCAAAGGGCCTACAAGTGCGCTTTTTGAGATGTTGGAGAGCGGCTCATTTTGCATAGTCGCTGAAGATCTCCATCTCGCGCAGCGAAAGGAGAACAGAAGCCAGGGCATGTCGAATAGTGACGAGGAAAGGCGGCATGCAGGTCAAAGAAAAGCTTGGGAGCTGTGAGAACTCAAGCCATGACATGTCTACGGGTTGACCTTCATGTTCCACCAACCTTGATGCTCAATCAAGGGGCCGTGTGCGGATCGCGATCGCGCGACGTACCTCGGCTTTGAGGCGCCTCGGAAAGATCCATCCCTGTCTCTCCCAGTACGGTACGGGAGCAGACACAGAGACAGGAGGAGAAGAGAAAAAATCTGAGCAAATAATCTAGCTCGATTTCTTTTTGGGGGGTCAAGCCTTGTCATTTCATAGAAACATTGTGTTTGTGCTGCAGCTTTGTGAGGTGGCGCCTCGGATTTCATGGTTCAAAATATAGAGAATCTAGGGGTCACACCCCTCATTTTATGCTTAGAAAATGGCGACCAGGACTCCTGCAGTGGTATTGCAACATACATCTTACTTCTGAGGTTCGCTTGGTTCGTGGAATTCTGCCCTGGACATCGTTTTCAAAAACGCTTATTAAAGCTCTACGGCTTCATTGCTCCAAACAATTTTTTCAAGGGAATAGTGCGCAAACCCAAGGTAAGTGAATAGTACGAATTGTATAGGGGGTGGGGTTAATAAGCGAACTTGGAACCCCAGGAGAAAAGCTTACTTTACTATTGTTGTGCTATTGCAACGCTTTAAAGTATTTACTTAACTCTTCTGACGTTTGCCTGGTTCACAGGAGTCTGACCAGGATTCTCTTTTCTTTTTCAAGAGGTCTTTGAAAACTACTCGATTTCATTGTTCTAAACAATTTTTCAGGAGGAAGTGCGCAAACGCAGGGTACGTGAATAGTGTGAATTGTCTCGGGGGTGGTGTTAATACGTGGATTTAGAGTTCTAGGGGACGTATCCAAAATTAGACTTCTATTGTTCTGCTATTGATGCCCTTTTAAATCCGTAGGTTGACTCTTTGAGGGTTCCTGCTGCTGTTGCTGCTTCTGCTACTAGTATTGCTCGTACCACTAGTACTAGTCCTACTACTATTCCTCCTCCTCCTCCTCCTCCTCCCACTACCACTACCACTACCACTACCACTACCAGGACTACGACGACCGCCACCACCACCACGACTACTACTACTACTGCTACTACTACTACTACTGCTACTACTCTACTACCACTACTACTACTACTACCACTACTAGTACTACTAGTACTACTACCACTACTACTACTACTACCACTACTACTACTACTACTACTGCCACTGCCACTGCCACTGCCACTGCCACTGCCACTGCCACTACCACTACTAGGACTACGACCACCACCACCACGACGACGACTACTGCTACTACTACTACTACGACGACGACTACTACTACTACTCCTACTACTCCTACTACTCCTACTACGGCTACGACTATACGACTACGACTACGACGATGGCGACGACTACGACTCCTGCTCCTCCTCCTCCTCTTCCTCCTACTACGACGACGACTCCTACTCCTACTCCTACTCCCACTCCTACTCCTTCTCCTACTACTACCACTACTACTACTACCACCACTACTACTACTACCACCATCCCTACCCTCTTAAGCTACTGCCGGGAGGGGGGACCTCAACAAAGTAAGTTACATTTTAGGGTACCCCCCTAGGGGGTCAAAAAATGTAAGTTACCCCTCTCCCAGGCACCATCGAAACGGGTAAGGGGTGGGGGGGGTGCAAAAAAAAGTAATTTGTTGCATGGGACGTGCTTATTCACGTCGCTTCGCGACGGTAACCGCCCGCACCGCATGGGAGGGCTCAAAGACTGCAGTCATGCTCCAGGAACGGGTCAAGGTAGGTACTTCCATTGAACATAGCCCCAGAAGTCACCCCCCCCCAACGTGGCCGAACATAGCTTCCATATTGCCTAACATAGCGCTAGAATGTGGGAACGTCGCAAATTGGTGTATCTTTTCCGCAGGTAGCTCGAGACGTTCACCGGATATTTGGCTCAACAGGAGCAGAGATAAGGAACGGTAACATTTTCTAACGAGGGCTCAAAAGGGACTGGAATAAAGTAAAGATATTGCCTAACATAGCTCTAAAAGTCACTATCTAAAGGACATATCTGCGAAATAAGGACGTGAACGTCGTAAACATAGCCCAACGAGGACCGGATCAAAGACCCCCCCTAATGTGACCAAACATAGCTTTTTCCAGGAACGGTAAGATTTTCTCACGAGCATAGCTTGCATATGGTCGAACATAGCCCCAGGAGTCACTATCTCAAGCATGCTTCCTCGAGACAGGGACTCGAACGAGGGCTCAAAAGGGGAGCCTGTTCAGCCAAATGTCCGGCCTCAGTCCAATTACACTTTACCGCGCAGATGATTCAAACACGTCCTTTAGATAGTGACTTCTAGGGCTATGTTAGGCAATCTCTTTACTTTATTCCAGTCCCTTTTGAGCCCTCGTTGGGCCATGTTTTGCGTTCAAGTCCCTATCTCGCAGACACGTCCGTTAGATAGTGACTTCTAGGGCTATGTTAGGCAATATGGAAGCTATGTTGAGCCACGTTAGGGGAGCCTGTTCAGCCAAATATCCGGCCTCAATCCAATTACATTTTACGGCGCAGATGATTCAAATCATGCAAAGGAAGAAAATGGCATTTCTTGCGTCAATTCAAATCATGCAAAGGAAGAAAATTGCATTTCTTGCATCACCAAGGGCTTCAAAATAGCACGAATTCATCTTCCAGCATTTTAAGCCGGTTCCAAAAACGTGAAAAACACAGTATTCTAGAGCGAAAATGCACCCCCCCTAGCTAAAGCTATTGGCTTGCCCAGGCTAGCTTACGTATACCGCGTGCCTTATAAAAACGCCTCGGCACCTTCGGTGCGGGCGGACTTACATTTTACAACACCCCCAGGGGGGTCGGCAGATAGAAGGGGGGGAGGGGGTCTGGAAAATGTAACTTGCGACCTGGGAGGCCTGAATTTACATTTTTTACTCCCCCCCCAGGGTGCGTTGGCAGATCGAAGGGATGTGTGGGGGATATGTGAGACTGTGGCAAGTATGAGATCTGCAAGTCAACTTTTGGAATCACGAAAAGGTGAGTTTTGCAGACGTCAAAAATTGTAACTTACAATTAGTCCACGCATCCAAACCCTCAGATTTTACAGGGAATGGATGGGTTATGTGAGAAAGTTTGACCTCACAAATTGTAACTTGCATTAATGCTACGTGCCCAACTCCTCAGAATTTACAAGGAACTGGGGTGTCCCCCTGAGTTGCTTACATTTTAGCATACTGAAAATCACACACGTCCGACGCCACGAAGCACAAGCAGGGGGCAAGAGACCAGGGGATCAAACAGAAACAGCCTCCAAAGTTCAACAGCCGAAAGGCCAACTCTGACAGAAACCGCTCCGGGGCACCGTTCCCTCGTTAAGGAATAGACACAGAGACAGGGGGAGAGGAGAAAAAGTAGAAAAGTAGCCAGTCAATTTCTAATTTTTAGATAGTTTCCTGGTCATATTCCTTCAGTTCCTGTCTTCCCTTGATGTTTGAAGAGTTTTGAGAGCATTTCTTAAAATTTGGAATTTGTACGTGTGGGACATGGTCTTCCCGAGGACTTTTTCGCATACTTTTGTTATCGTTATGTTATCGCTTTGGAACCCCTACTGCTTCACCCATCTTGGTGGCCTAACGGAAATGAGTGTGACTTACATTTTTGAGGTCATTCCCCGGGAAATCACCCATGAGGCCTCAAAAATGTAAGTTACCCTTTTTGAGGCCACCTCAAAGTTAATGTAATTACATTTTTAGAGGCCCTCCCGATGGGAAAATGTAACTTACAATTTTCGACGTCCCCCCTCAGGAAAGGGTAGTGATCTATTACCACTACTACTAGTACTAGTACTACTACTACTGCTACTACTACTGCTACTGCTACTACTACTGCTACTGCTACTGCTACTGCTACCACCACCACCACCACGACTACGACGACGACGATTACTACTATTACTACTCCTACTACTACTACTACTACTACTACGATTGCGATTGCCTTTACGATTACGATTACCGTGTATCGACAGGGCATTCCGGAAACCAGCTTTGGCTTGTTGTGATTTGGTGTAGCGTCGTGCCAGGCAGGGAGTGGCTGTCCCCAGTTGGCACTTGATACTCTGCCACTCCAACGCTCCCAGGTATTTTTCCCGTTGCCTACCGTTGCCTATGGCGTGCTTTGCAAGCAAATTCCACTGGACAAGTTCCCATCTCCGCTGGTGATCCTTGCGCTGTCAGTGTTGGGGTGTGCTTTTGGGGTTTGGTATGGCCAATTGTGCAGCGAAATGGGAACGCATTGCGTGCAGTGCTCACCGCCACCTCCCTTGTTCCCTCAGAATCTTGCATGTCAACGGCGATGGGCAGTTTTCATTCACCTGTGACTTCTGAGTTCAATGTTTTTCCCGCAGCTGCAAGGCTTCATGCTGTACAGCTTTGGGGCGTAGGGATTTCCCCGGACAAATGGTGACGGCATTCATCACACCCTTGGTGGGTGCCTGGAAAGGTGCTGCTGCTGCCAAGGCTGCCCTCATGACTGCAACAGCAGCTGCATCACACCTCCTACCACACAGTGGGGGCGAGGCAGTGGATATACACCACGGCCATGCGCAAGACAGCCATGGAGACCATGCTGATCATGGAAGCCACGCAGACCCCGCAGACCATGGAGATCATGGCCATGATGAGCAGCACCATGAGCATGAGGATCATGAAGAACATGAACATGATGATCATGAACATGAAGAGCATGAACATGAGCATGAAGAGGAGGGAGATGAGATGGAGGAAACGGTTGAGGCAGCCGAATTTGCGCATGAAAATGGAGCTGCAAGTGGGGCTCCTTTCTGGCGCAGTTTCCAGAAGAGGTCGCAGTCACATGCAAAACCGACTCCAGATTCAGCTAGCGCCACCAATGCAGAGGCAGTCCTGAAGGCAGTTGCCGCTGCTGCGGCAGTCGCCTCAGTGACATCTCGCATGGTTGAATCTCGTTGCCAAGAGCTTGGGTGCAGACCAGTTGGGCGGAATGGAGCCAGTGCAACTAGTGCAGCTCCAAATCTTGACCGAGTCATTGAGCGAGACCGTGCTCGCAAACCCTGGCGATTATGTGGAGATCCATTTCCAAACCCTGCTGGACAACTTCCCATGGTAAACTGAAGATGAGATGTGAGACGGTTGGACCGGGACAGTTGCTTGCAGGTGTTGAGGGATCATGAATCATGAATCATGAGCATGCTAGAAAGGTCAGGAGTCAGAAGACACATTTGTGTTGGAGACTTGCAGGCAAGGGTTTTGGTATACCGCTGTGAATTGTTGCGAGATTCTTGTAGTGAACGTCTCACTTGAGGACGCGAAGGGTAACCAATGTCTTGCATTTCGAAGCGTTGAGCAAGAGCCAGAAAACTGAGTGGCTAAGGGTGCATTGCCACTTGTAGCGGAAAGCATTTGTGAAAGAACATTCTGTATGTATATATTATATACTCTGTTGTACCTGATTGGATGTGTTTTTGTGCATCTGCAATTCTGCATGTCCAGAGTCCCAACTCAATACTGGCACATTACGGGTGTATTCTTATAGAGTAGAGCATTGCCTATTGTCATATGTTCAACGGTCGTTTTCACGTCAACAAGTGAAAACCATTTGCGTGTTATTCCCCAGCAACTACAACTATTTATGGCAATCCCGGGCAGGAATTTGGTGCAAGAACATGTTCAAACACAAAAGTTACAGAAAGTCACCAACTGTTGTGTAGAGAATAAACTCAGTGATGTTGCAGCCTCCCTGCACCGGGTGGCGGCCACCGCAAATGACAGAGGCCGACATTACCACCCTTTTGTGTGCAGCATTTCCAGTGTTTCATTGCCAACGGAGCTTTGAGGTGTGCAATGGGCAGCAAAACATGTACTGGACTGACCGGCCTGAGGCCGTGGGAGAAATGTAAAGATTGAATTGCAATGAAACACCTGGTCGCGAGGCCTGGGTCCCACAAGTCAGACGCGTCCCGGAGGTGCCCATGCCTGCGACTGAGCAGTCGTGAGGTCACAGAGAAGGTTGGGTTTTCAGTTTCCACATGTTCAGAGGCTAGAGCTCACACCTCTCTCCCTCTATATCTCTCTTGCTTTAAATTTGTAAACATCGCTGTGCATGTACAACTATAAGCATAGTCTTTTTTGTCTCATGAATCATCTCGTCACAACTGGTACATCCCAGGCACCCCCAACAGTCTGTGACACCTTTGCGGTGGGAGGCCAGGCTGTGCTTGAACGTTGCGTGGCGCAACTGCACTGTCCAGCAGTGCCCCGTACTGCAGACAGCTATCACAGGTGATGTTACCACCCTGGATGATCCAGAGTTTGGTACCGTAGATGAACTTTGCAGGCGGTTGATGTGGAAAGTTCGTGGGACCCAAGGCTGGCAAGCAATCGAGATGATTAGAGAGTGCAACTCTTGTGAGTCGCAAGTCGTTTTGGCATTTGCTGAGTTCGGGGAGGCTAGGGACCAAAGATGTTGATGCCTGGGCGACGCACTATCCGCAACGAGCCAATCTCAGTTGCGCTCCAAAAGATGAATGCTGGATGTCATCAAAGCTAAGGCGAGATCCGATCGCAGTGGCCGCCGAGTTGCAAATGTAGGGCCGGTAGCTGGCCACCAAGTCAGCACAGAAATGCAAGCGAGTGTAAGGAATGTGTGCTGGCTTTAGTGGGAGCTGTGCAAAGTGAGGCTTTGGCAACGGCCGAATGTGTAGTACCTATCGGGAAGGCAGCAACTTGCAAGTTCCAATTCTTGTGTGCAATCAGTGCAATTAAAGCCGGCTCATGCGAGGAGCGAAGATGTACGCTGATCAGAAGACTTTTCAACAGTCAGCAGCTACGCGTTTGAAGGCCCCAAAGCAGGGGAGTGAGTCTACCGCCTTGAGACTAGTCTACAATGGCTCCTGTGCTTGTGGACCGTGACTTGAGAGGCGCTTGAGCTGGAACATCAAGAGCTTCGGCGGCAGATCAACCAAGAGCTGCCTCCTGCTTGCACTTTCAGATACCGTGGTTCGTTTGGGAATAAGTGGCAGGCAGCCTTTTCAGGTGCCAAAATCAGCTCAAGGGGGAAAAGGTCAGCCGCACAAGCCAGCAGGACTGACGGTATTTGTGGGTGAATGCTTTATGAATGCTCGGGCTTTTCAAATGTTTTAAGATCAGATGCCGACAGCAGTTGTGCTATCAAAGTCCGGCGCGTCAGTCCTCCAAAGAGACAAACACTGCCAGAAGAAACACGAAGCGTCAGTCAATGTCGTGTGTATCCCAGTGCTGTCTTTTTTGCAATCTGTCGGTTGCACGTGCTGTTTTTTGATAGGAGTTGCGCTGCGAGGGCAGCTGTGGAAGTCGATGCACCAAAGCACGATCTCGGAGTGCACTCTTGATGCATTGGGATCTTAAACTTGAGAGTTTTGCTGTTTTGGCTGTTTATTGGCTCACCTGCTTCTTTCGAGGCCTGTGGTGGTCCACCAGGCCCAAACCTTGGCAGAAGCAGCGTGGGCATGCACCGAGATGCCCGGCAGGCAAGGCTGACCAATGATTTCGGCTTGTCAACCCATACTGGTAGCTGGTCAGGAGCGGGGGAGTCGTGAGCACTGGAACCGCGGCTCAAACCAGGGACTGCAACTGGCCCAGTTTGCAGTTGACAGTGGGGACAGTATGCAGCCTGTGAGGTATATATAGTTATATATATATACTTATATATATATATGTTTATTTTTTTCTCTCTCCGGCCTCAGACTCAAACCTGAGGTCGGCCCAAGGCTGCCAAAAGCGACAGGCCCATCAGCAGTGCCGGCGTACGAGAGATGTGCGCAAAGACTTGGAATTGCGCAAGTGACTCCGAAGCTGTCTTACCTCTTGTTGAGCTGTTGAACGAATCTGCCCCTCCCTCACTTTTTGCGTTCGAATCTTGATGGTACGCTCACGTTTCCACCTTGTCTTCCCTCTTCGACGCCGCTCTTGTAAATCCTCTTGTTCATTGGGATTTGTGGGGCTCCCTGTGCGCTTGCTACTTCTTAAATATTGCGACTGCAGCTTTTTGGGAATGCTTGTGCCCAGGAGGTCAGCACGCCTCATTGTTGTTACTGTAGTAGTTATTTCGTGTCATTTCCAGTCACAAGTTCGGAGCGTGGCCTGCATGTGCTTAGTGCTTTCCATGACCAAAAACTTTGATTCTGCATATTCTGGAAAGCTATGAGTTGGGTGCAACTGTTGTTGGTGTAAGCAGAAGGCAACCCGGCAATCACAGGCAAGTTGTGCAACACAGATGCCCGGGCAGCCGATTGATCACAGGAGCATCCACCAACTTCCGCGTGAGTGCGTTGCCAGATAAACATATCAAATGCAGGTGAAACAAGCTGGACAGCATCTGAAACATGTGCCGCCAGGATGCAGCAGTATGAACTAGATGGCCAACATTTTGCCGTCCAAGATGCTACCATGGGCCATCAGGAAGCATCGCGAAGGGTCTCGCGACACGTCACGTCCCACACAGCAAGTTCACGATCTTTGGAGTGTTGAGCCAGGTTAAACCGTGTTTAAACATGTTAAACCCACACGCCATACACTTCACATACCTTGCGCCCAGGGATGTTGGGCTCAGCAGCTTGGTCATCAGGACGTTTCTTTCGCTCACGGTTTCATTTATTTTATCACCCGCCTGATCGTTTGCTGTGATCTTGTATTACATCTTGCAGACTTGAACAGCTTGAAACCTTGTCACTTCCAGCTCAAAAGCACCCCTCCACTTTTTGAGCACAAGTTGTCAAAAGTTCAGAGATGGTGACCAGGAGCAACAGCAAGTTCAGTACACTCCAGCACTTTCTGCAAGTGGAATGCCTGACTTGCATCAGCTCCTCGGCAGACAACGGTTCTTAGCTTTTTCAACGCCACTTGAAATCTTCGATGCTTCACACGAAGTGGCAAGCTTGTATGAGATTTCGCACCGTGGATGCATTTGAGGATGCCGCGTGCTGTGTGCCCGACACCATATGCGCTTGGTCTTTGCCTCAGTCTGAAGCCTTTCTGGACGTTCGTCCTGCTGTCCCAATGCAGGCTCCGTGTGTGGCCGTGGCGAACGAGAGCTTCCTGGATGGAGGAGCTGCAAGGCCCCGCCGTCTCTGAACGCCCAGCATGCTTTCCGGCAGCGCCCACTTGGCCAGGACAGCAATGAAATTCTGGGCACTTGCTCTGAAATCATCACCTCCACTGCTCGGTACATTTTTGATGTAGTGAAAAGTCTGACGCCCAGCCTGTATGGTGCCCTCTTTCAAAAAAATGACACCTGCAGTGGCCTAGAGCTGCGCTGCAAGTTTGAAAGGTCGCGACCTGAACCGCAAAAGCCCGCTGAAGATCTTGTCAGCTGCAGATGGCTGTGCGGATGATACAATCCAGGAAGCTCAGGCGCAGATGAGTTCAGGTGTAGGCTGCAGGCGTGCTTTCCGGAGATCCATTGTTTGGCCTGCAGGCCCGTTACGTGCCAACAAGTGCTCGAGTCCTAGCTTGGCCCGACAGTTTCATTCTTTTTTAGAACGTTCTTGTGATCGGGTCGGGGCCTGTGCAATTAACAGAATTGTGGCACAGAGAGAAACTGAAAACGCAATTAGAAGTTGTAAGAAGGTAGCACCATGCCAGCTTACTCCTGTTTACTCCTGCCTTCTTGGCTGCCCTATGACGTTGCTTCTTTCTGGGAATCTTTTGCCAACGGAATATGCTGGAATTTGCTCGCGCCTGGTGCTAAAGAGTCACGGGTCAATTGCTTGTCTTGAGATGCCTCCAAGTTGTGCTTCCCGTTTTCCCCACAAGTGTTGGCAATTTGGGAGCCAATCTCAGAATCTCAGGTCATGCTGGCTCATGCGTTTGCAGCTTCCACTGGCGGGTGGTCAGACTACAGGACGAAGGCTGGCATTGCGTTGGTGTGAGCTCTACCGTACCTGGGTTTTCAATCTGTGCACATGCAGATTCGAGTGTATGGCGGAGACGTGCGGAATGCCATTATGCCGTTCTGGCAGTCCTTGCCTCTTTGGAATCGTGGGTGCAAGTGCACCGTAATGCAGCATGGCCCATGGTGAACTTGGTATTTGTGAGATTGGCAATGCTGACTAAGGCCCCAAGCCCTTCCATGGCAGCTTCCAATGTTCCTGGAGCATCGCTTCATTGCATTGGACAACACGAAGGACGAACACAATGCACGCCAAGACGAACACAATATACACATGCAAAGCTGAGGACTTTGCCCCGCAGCTGTACAATGGTCAGTGCGAGGCCAGCCCATGAAATCCCTGGCAAAGTCAAGAGATTTCAGTTCAGAGATATTTGGGCCTTTGGCATGGAGTCTTGAGGCTGGCCAGCTCTTTGATGTCGTCTTACTTCGGCAGGGTCTTTGCTTTTGTGATGATCCCTCGAAAATGGCCAGTTCATGGCCGCCGGTGCCTGAGAATGCACCATGATCGCCAGTACAGGCAACTCCCTGAACCATGCAGGATAGAGGTGACCCTCTCCTGCAAGTCGTGCATGAGCTGCCGTGCTGTACTTCCCCCTGAGTCACTACCACAGCAGGTGCGCATGTCCATCAGGCACCCACAAATTCGACAGACCTACGCTGTCAGGATCCGGCAACTGTCAGAAGAACTGCAATTTGTGGTGCTGGTCTTGGTTGATTTGGGCGCACATGCTTGTGATGATGTGAAGAGATCTAAGGGGTCTACCGACTTGAGCCCTGACCCTAGCCGGCGCTGGCCAAAAAAATTGGATTGTTATCAAGCTCTCTTGGTTGACCAATATGTTCCTAGGCCGTTTCTGTGCGAGAATCGGCCTGCATATCGTCTTGGGCGATGTGTGCTCCGATGGCGGCAACCTTAGACAATAGGAGAGACAATCCAAAGCTGTCGGAGTGTCGGACGGTGTTGCAGTCAGACTAGAGAGAGAGAGAGAGAGAGAGAGAACGCGCGCAAATAGCAGAAAGCAAAAGAACAGAGTTGGAATCCGTCTCCCCGAACGACAGGTGTCCAGACAGACTGGAGTGGGCTGTCTTGGATGATGCGGACGGTGGAGCTTGGGCTTTTGCGCGCGGAGTCTCAACTGGCTTGTTTTAGCACATTTTGATTAGCAGGTGTTGGCAGTGTCCTCAGCATCTCTCAAAGCATATCCAAAGAACGCTGACACTTAGCGGAGGCGTTTGCAAAGATGTGGTTTTGTGCTGCTTGAATATGGGACCACATAGCAGGACCTTGGGCATCCAATCCTGTCGAGAGGACCATGGACAGTTTGGGATGGACAAAGCCAGGGCCATGGCAAAGCCTTTAGTGAGAAACACATCATCAAGAAATGACATGCGCTTATCTTTACTTGCTGGCACTTAGACCATATCTCGGATGCCAGCTTTGCCTGCAATTTGGTTCAAGAAGCTTCTTCACCGCCGTCCGGGGCTTTGGACACTGACTGCAGCGACCAAGTTAGCAACATGACGAACTGCAAGGAGGGTTCAGACTGACAAGGGAATCTTGAAATTTGTTTGGGTGAGTGCATTTGAAGATTTGAATGGCGACAATGATTAGTTATTACACACACATAAACAAACACAAACATAATTACATATATATAAATATCTGTCTCTCTAATCTGTGTGCACATTTTTATGCATTTGTCGTTGCACTGAATTTCGTTGTCTGGACCTGGGCATGTGGGGTCCGGGTGCGCCAGTGACCACTTGGATGTCACGCATGCAGAAATATGTCTGCCACACAGTGGCTCATCCACCATACGGTCACATTGAAACTCAACATAGCCTACATTGTGCTAACAGATGTCACCAAACACTACCAATTATGACCTGTCATCACCTCAGACACAGAATCTGTGCAACAGCCTTGGGAAACATGGACAACGAATATATATATATATGTATTATATTATATATATATATTTTGAATTCTTTGATGGTCACTCATTGACAGGTACACTGTTGTCCTAACTGCAAGTATGCACTGGCTTTATTTGAACATTCAGTTTTTTTTTTCAGGTATGAGTATTTGTACTAAAGTGCTACGATGGAAACCCGAACTTGAAAGCACATTTTCAAGTTCAGCAAAGTCATTCCTAAACGTAAACAATTTGCAAGTTCCACAGTTCAGCAATCAATCCTTTGCAGTGGGCCCTAGATACTATATACAAGTTGTATATAGTCAATATAGTGACTTCCTTCTGTGGAGATCACGTTTGTGATGAACAATTTGTTTCCAAATATTAAATAAGTTCTGAAAACACCGGTGTTCTGACAATGTCGATTGTCACATGGAACTCAATGTGAGTGTTCATCAAATCCCTATGGGTTTCAAGACTCTTCTTGATGCTTGGTGTGCGCCATAGATTTTTGAACTATACTTTATCACAAGGTGACGTGATTTGATTGGACAATGAACATCATTTTCAACACTATGGACTGGTACACCAGGGACTTCTCGTGTAATGCAACCAGCCATCATGGACGTCCAAGTTGTGTGTGGGATTGAACATTCCTTTGTTGAAGTTGAACCTTGCTGCTCCCTTGCTTGTGATACACGTATTCAAACACCGCAAATCAAACTCCCACTTGACATGTTTGTTGTCAATTGGTGGAGCCAGAGTTTGATTGATGAGATGTTGCCACTTGCACTTATTATGATTTAGGATTTTTTGGGGTGATGAACAAAGCTTGTTACACCACTACCTTGCAGGTTTCTCTCCACCTTTAAGGTGGAAATTATGTAGTTGGAACGTGTAACTTATAATGTTTGTTTATGTTGTCGTTCGTTGTGCAGATATTTGATGTGTACTTTTTTCTCTGGAACGATGTGCGCACTTTTGGTCCAACACATGGTTACATGTCCACATAGCTAAACACGAATCAGTGTCATATCCCACGTAGCTTTGGGCTCGACAGGGAATGCCCATCTGCAAGAGGTGTGCCAAGTGGCCACTCCTTGCGGAAAGGTGCCCCGTTTGCACCTCGGCGGATCGACTGCTCGCATCGATTGCCAACCCTCGAATCCCAGCCACTTACGAGGCGGAGGCGAAGGTGACCAAGGTCTTGGATTCAGCCTTTTACTCCATCTCAAGGTTGGTGCCAGAGGACGACAGTCCGAAGAAGGGAGATAGGTCTCCCAGCCCGAAGGCAGTCGAGAAGGCGAGCAAGGCGACTGAGGAGCGTGGCCGAGGTGAGAGCGCTAGAGGTGGCACTACTAAGGGAGAGGCTTCTCCCAGACTTCATTCAGGTGAAAGAAGGCGAAAGTCTCAGAGCCCTAAGAAGGAAGCCAAGGAGAAAGAGCAGACAGAGGAATCTAAGAAGCCGGAAGAAAGCGAGAAGAAGGAAGAGGTAACAAGGACAGTTCAGCAGAGTGAGGAGAAAAAGGTATTGCCCAAGAGAAGAGAGGAGGAGAGGACAAAAAGGGAGCGTTCCAGGACTCCCAAGCATCAAAAGGAGAAAGAGAAGAGGAAGGCTAAGAAGAGAGACAGCAATTCAAGGTCAGTTAGCGGATCAGTTGTGAGGAGGAAGAAAAGGGAGGACCACACCTCCCATAAGCCGGAGAAGGAAGAAGAGGAGAAGAGAGCAAAGCCCAGCAGTGGCATCCAGAGGGAGAGCTATTTGCGACCTCGACCCAGTCGGCGTGAGGCTAGGTCTCCACGGACGCCGGATCATCCTCCCCCAAAGGGGCCCCCAGTTGCGCCTGGACAAGGACGAGGAGTTCCGCAGGGTAAGGGCTGGCAAGGCCGTGTGCCCTACTCTCATCACCCAAGGTGGACAGAGAGCACCAACAAAGGTGTTACAAAAAGAGCGAAGCAGGAGCTTTACGAGAGGAGGCAGTACAGAGACCGTTGGTAAAAGGGAGCAATGGCTCCCAAGATGAGGAGACCCGCAGCAGCTGTAGGCAGGGTGAGGGGTTTGAGGAGGCCGGCCAGGTCAACAGCTGAGGAAGACCGTGAGGAAGAGAAGCCTTTGACTGAAGAGTACAATACGTTGGCATCTTTGACACTAGAGAGGATGAAGAGCTTGGACATTGTGGAGTTGGGAGAGACCTCATATTATGGAGGACACGCCAAGGTCTGTGGGCGCATTCGAAGGTTGATGCCCGCAGAGGAGGAGGTTGAATTCGAGTTGACCGGTACTATGTCGGATCGTGTTCTAGAGCGATTCGGAGGAGGAGGATCGCGGTTGATCAAGGTCCACATCTGCTCGTCGGGATGCCCCCCAGTTGACAACCGGCGACACCTACATGCACAGCAGAGGTTATTGGGATTGCAGTGTGGCGCCAAAACCCTGGCACACTAACTTGGTGCCGGCTAGAGCTGGAGGTGACGCAGAAGTGGATGAGTTGGCAGGTTTGAGAGAGCTAGCCGTGGAGCGTGGCAAAGGGAGGGGAGGCGAAAAGCCTCCCAAGCCTGAGGAGAAAGAAGTCGCAGGTGAGCCCGCAGCAGGAGAGGTGAAGAAGAAGGATAAGAGAAAGCGGAGGAAGAAAGAGAGAGCAGCGGAGAAGGCCTTCGATGAGATGCTGGAGAAGAAGGAGGAGACCGAGGAGTTGGAGAGAGGTCAGAAGACGGCCCGGGCGCTTTTTAGCCATACCTGCTTGGACCCCAACGTGCCCAGGCGAAAGAGGCTGATGAAGAAGGCCCGGAGGGTCGGAAAGAAAAAGGACAAGAAGCGAAAGCGGTCAGACTCCAGCGATTCAGGGTCCTCTTCATCCACGACGTCAGAAGGCGACGGGGGGTCAGAGGAGGAAGGACCACTCTTCGAAGAGACGAGACGTCTCCGTAGGTTGAGTGAGAAATGCCCTGGTGCGCTGACGGCCCAAGCTCTCGACAACGTTCGGGAGCACCTACTATCGTCAAGGGGTGAACTCCACAGCCTCTCAAAGGAGCACCTGAGCCCGTTGTTCTCCATGTACACGCACCAATACTTGCAACCCCTTGCAAGTCCGGTGATGCTGCAGGAGTTACTCACCGTAGCTCAGGTCACCGACCTATTGATCCGAGGGAAGGTGGCCACTGCGATGGACACTCTCGTCCAAAGGGCAAAGTCGCTTGAGGCGACCTTGCGTGGTGGTCATTATTCTGTATCAAGGCAGCTGGAGTTAGTCAATTCGGAACAGGTCAGAATCTCAGAGCCCGCTGAACAAGTTGAGGCTGCGAAGACAGCGCGCGATGAGTTCCGCAACCGTTCAATTGGCAATAGGCCGCATGGCTTAAGCTCGCGTGGAGAAGGTGAAGTGCATCCCAAAGGTCGAGGAAAAGCCGTCCCTACCTCAGAGCCCTCGTACAAGCAGAAAGGAGGAGAGAAAGGAAAGGGAAAAGAGAAAGGAAAATGGGGAAGAAAGCAGAAAGACGAACAGTAAGGAGGGACGATGAGGTACGAGGGACGGGCAGTAAGACAGAGGGATGCAGAGGACAGAAGAAGAAAGGAGAAGTGTCAGAGAGGAGCCAACAAGTGGTGAGGAGGTCAGAGGACGAAGAGAAAGAGGTTGAAAGGGCAATAGATGCAATGCTGAACGAGTGTCAGAAAGAAGCACAGGAGGCGGCTGGTATGAGCAGTGTGTATAACCCCGGAGGTGTGTCTAAAAGGCCGAAACGGCCACTGGATGTGCCGGGCTGGGGAAGGGAGGATGGAGGTCCCTCCCAGACAGAGAGAGGGAATAAGCAATCTGCAGGCTTGGGCCGTGGACAACGCCGTCTCTTTGTTGGGGAAGAACTTCATGGTGGCACAGGGGAGAAGAGAGACTTCTCCCAACCTGCATGGAGACCCTCTTCACGACTGGATTTGAAACCGTGCCGTGAGGAGCATTTTTTGACAGAGCATGGAGGCCATGAAACTTGGCAGATGGCTTTGAAAAGCGCTTGTGCAAAAAAGGAAAGCTTGTGGGAGGATATGAGTCCTGCACTATCACAATCTCTGGATGTGTTGACAAAGACCACGCGTTGCGGGCAGTCCACGGAGGGGGTCTTCCCTCTCCCACTTCCAGGGAGATTGGGATGGTGCGAAGAAGATGATCCATTGCTAGAAGGGCTCATCAGAGGGTTGAACAGTTTGTATGGGGTTGAGTCTCAGGGAGTTAAGAAGGTGTCAAAGGTCCAGAGGAGGATCCTGGAAAGGTTGAAGGGTGTGCTTAAGACCAGTGGCTTGCCCCGTGTGGTCCTCCCCACACTTACGTTTGGACAGTTTTTCACCACGAAAGGCATTGACTATTCAGGTGAAGAGGTTCGGGTGGCCAGGTCGTTCCAGTGGAAGATGATTGCTGCAGCTTTCCCTGAGGGGGTAGGATCATTGGATTTGTTGAGCTTCTGTGAAGGAGGCACCAGATCATATGTTGCAGAGTTCGAGCAATTCCTTCTTCCGCCCCAGGATCAGAACCTCGGAAAGACGCCGGCCACGATGGTCAACCAAGAGCACTGGGCGGAGGTGTGCCTGGGACTTGTCGATCGGGGGGTTTGTGGCCTCATGAGAAGGGAGGAGCTTTATCATGT